ACGCAAGTGATAGACACACACACTCACATGTGGGGAGAGGAAGGCAGAGAGATGCACACAGCCGTGCGCGCGGACATAGGATCTAACCTAGGCCTAGAGCAAAGCTACACACGACCCCCCCCAAAAAAATACAAAGAGAGTCGGGGAGACGAGAAAGGGAGGCTGGCTGCGATTTCACCTTTGACCCTCACTGTCCATTAATCCTGATTGAGTATCACGCGCGAAGTAGGATGAGGCGGTGGTATGAGTGGCACAGCGGGCAGTGGTATGCACAGGCAGTGTGTTACAGTAGGCCTAGTGTGCTATATAGTGACTGGCCGTCTAAATTAAGTTTTCATTTCCCATTCAACCACAAAACAAAAACAAACAAGCGAACAAAAACTACCATGGCGGGTGTCTAAACAACAGTGCACACTTTTGCGGGACCGCTATATGCCTACTTACAAACAAAGGGAAATAGCACGAGAAATTTTCTACACACATGAAAATCTCTGGATTATGTCTACTTCGCACTTAAGCATGCTTCGGCTTTAAGCACGCTTAAGCTTTCTCCCGATGATCGTGCTTAAAGCCGGCATGCACTGTATCAACTTTATTTCCGTCTCAAATTTATATTTTAAAAAATGTATGGTTTTTAATCGAGCTACATCTCACTAAGCCTAACAGCGTTAGTCATGTTTCGCGCTTTGGACCAGTCAGGGAGGATTCGCAGCCCCCCTCCTGAAGTAAAAAAAAATTGGGGGGGGAGGTCATGCCCCCCCCCTGTTTTAATCCGTAATTTGTTATTTGGCCGTTAGGTTTGAAAATTTTGTGAAAATAATTGATTTGCGACAGTTTGAGTGTGATCTGCAACAAGCAATACTGGAGTTTGACCCCCTAAGCAGTGCTTCTGTGTTCAGGAGTGAAATAAAAATTTACACGAAACAAAAAAAACAAACACCCTAACTAACTGTAACTAAATCATCCACACATGATGATTTTAAATTACAAACACTCAATACTTAATGGACGCATTTCTAGATCTACCTCAAATCACTATCAAGCGCTCATTTTCAAGCAATTTTATGAAACTACAGTAAACACTTTTTTGCCATTGCTTCGTGAATTTTTTTTACTAAGAAGTAAAGAAAAGCTTCTGAAGGTAAAGGTGCGAAAAAATTAAAATATGGATTTAGAAAACGGGTCTTGATTTTGTTCATGATGTGATCAAAACTGTTCATAAAGTCTCCATGTTATTTTTTATTTTAAAAAAAAAAGAGATATTTATTTATTAATTGTAAATTGCTTCTAGGAAGATGACAGTCTCTATCACTGGCCAGTGATGAAAGTTAAGACTTTCAGCTTAAATCGCTACCCTACAATTACAAAGTTCTGTCTAGCTAGTTTTGAGAAATTTGACTTCCTAATTTTTAAAGTTTCACAGCATCATGTCTAGCTTTTTTGAATGCAATTCATCTTAGAAAATCTTGATAAACGACTCCAAGCTTCAGTTTAATTAAAGATTCTTGCTTTTCTCCCTTTTTTTCATATATATATATATATGTTGCTTTATAAATGATAATTTTATTGAAATTTCTTTGCAGCACATTGGTGGCAAGTGAAGATCCTGTAGGAAAATGTGGCCCCACACATTCAGTCTTGCAGCTTTGCTGATATTGGTGTGTGTGCATGTAGCATGCTCAGCAGAACATTCAAACAGTAGACCAGGTAAGATTGTATGTGTGTGTATCATACTAATATGTAAAGTTACAGTCAAACTTGTCTAAGACAACTTTGTGGAAGAGAATGATAGGCCGTCCTAGACAGATGGTTCTTTTGGACAGTGTCATTAGAGTAATATTCGAAAAAAAAAAAGTAGATGTGGTCGTTTGTAAATTTGATTGTCTTGGGCGTGTATGGTAGTAAAGCAGGTTCGGGTGTATGTACCATTTCTGTATTACTTACTGTGAAAGTTTGAAATACGATCACTTTTCCTTGGTTGCTATTTTTGCACTGTAGAAATTTAATAACAATGATTTGATTCTGAAGACGTTTGGATGCTCAGAAAATGGCTTGAGAAGTTCTCTGAAGTATGTTGTAACCACTTTGCTCCCATTTGACAAAACACATTTTCTCTTTCATTGTAAGAAGAGTGTTTTTTAAAGATTTGTTTTGTACCCACTTTTATATTTATGTTCCACTTTTCAGAGCTGCTTGTTGTCACCGTAGCAACGAAAGAGAATGATGGCTTTCGGCAGTTTAAGAGATCTACTGAAAAGTATGGTTTGGATTTAAAGGTGTGTACATGACTTTTTATTATTAAATTTTTGTATAAAATCTTCTTATGATCATATGAGTGTGATTTTGTCTTTTGAGTAGTAAACGGTTAGAAATGGGAAGACCAACGACACAGACCCTTCAGTGCAACACACTGATGCTGATTGTATTCTTTTAAATACAACAAAAAAAGCAAACAAAATACTGCGCTGTTTGCTGCCAGGCCTCTTTCCTTTTTCTAACTCCAGGAGTTGCTCCTCTGCTTGTACTTTTAAAATCCTCTGTATATTCTCAGTACTATTTTGCAGGGACCCATTTACTGTTTAGTAAGTCATTCTGCTAGTTGATTTTTGCCTTATCTTCTTTTTTCTACCTGTTTAGAAATGTATGTTTAACACCAAAAAAGTTTTTTTCTAGTGATCTGTTGAAAAAAGACATATGTTTATTTTCCTATTTTTGTTTTTATTTGGTAAGAGCATTGTTTTCCTTCCAGGTGTTTGGGATGGGCATAGAATGGCGCGGTGGAACCATGGAGACGATCGGGGGCGGTCACAAAGTGAACTTGTTGAAGGAGAACCTGGAGGCGTACAAGAACAAAGACAACCTCCTCATTATGTTTGTGGACAGGTAGGACCTGAACTTTTACGTGCTGACTGCTATTTGGGATGATTTATAAATATATAGAATGTATACTCCCCAAGAATAACATACTGATGGAACTTGTGTGGATTGTTGGCGCTTACATGACCTGTTTGGTTTCCAGGTGCTGTAAAACACTTACTAAAACTAAAATAAACTATCCAACACAGCATCGATGCATGCTTTCTCGAAGGAATTTTTTTTCCTTCTGCAATAGATATTAATTGTGTTAGCTTCTTAAATTGTATTTCTGCCAGTTATTCTTCCAGTTATTCTTATTTCAATTTTTTTCCTTTAATCATAGTTTGGGCGCAGAATTGTATAAATAGATAAGTTCCTGAGGTTGGCTCCACCGTTTATGTAGATTTATGGAAACAGTATGCTTCATTTGATTTTTCTGTATTTCAGCTATGACTTGATTTTCACTGACGGTAAAGACGCCATCTTGGACAAGTTTGCCAAATTCGACTCTCGGGTTGTGTTTGCTGCTGAAGATACCATTTGGCCTGATAAGTCACTGGAGGTGAGAGCATGAAGGTTCTTTTGTCAATACGGTTTACGGAAACAAATTAAGATTGTAATTTTAGAAAATTTCCGAAAGGTACTGGGCCCTCAATTATTTTTTCCTTTGAGTGTACCCCTTGAGTAACTAATTCTTTGGGTATTCTTTACTGAGCTTGTAAAGAAGACCCTTATTACTATGCAACAAAATAAATGCTTAATATATTCCATAAATTTGGTTATTTTTATCCCCTTAAAGTTATGAACTTTAGCTGAAAGCCTGATTTCATACAAATTGCTTTGTTGTGTTGATATGGATGGAGGAGAGGAGGTACATCAGGCATGCGCACCACTGCGAATAGCTCTCATATATATAAAACATATTGCCCCCCCCCTCAATAAAATGAATATCCGCATAAAATTTATTTTCTTTGTTGCAGGAGAATAAAAAAAAAAATTTACAATTTGCAAAGCATTATAATGATTATAACTTCCCGATTAAAAATATCGTAGATGGAGGAAAGGACATCCCAAAGACAATTCCATGGTGAAGGAAAAAAGTTACAGAGTTGTTTTTGACCCTCTGTTTTCATCATGTCCACAGAAAAAGTATCCACAAGTGAAAGAGAATGAAAAACGCTTCCTGAACTCTGGAGGTAAGCACAAGTTTGATAAAGTAATACCTTATTTATGCCTATATTATTATATCTGCTTCATCATCTTTTTTCAGTTGCTTTGCAGGAGTTTATTATGTAAAAAGCACAGGTGATATGTTATGAAAGCACACATTTATTGCTGGCAAGCCTGATATTTTGCTGGTTTTGTAATATTAGAAAAAGATAATCGTTATGTCTTGATTAGTATGATGGCTGGCCTATCTGAAATCAACTTAACTGAGCCTTGTTATTTGGCTACATGTTTAATTTTCTATTTCAAATTCAATATCTGAAGACAATGCATTGAGAGACTGTGAGGACATGACAAAGTTGACAGCCTAGGGTGCCACTGGTTCAGTGGAAAACTTATATATACTCTTCTCGTTCTGTTTGTTCACATATCACGAACAATGCTGATTACATTGTGTAATGCAACATCTCTAGATGAACATTGACTTAATTTTCTACTTGTCGGAAAACCAATTGTATTGAACTCAAATTACGTGATCACTCAAGAGTGTTCTCCTTGACTCAATACCACTTGTAGGGTAAAATAAGGTTGAATGTGTACTCAAATACTCAAATGTTATGATGACTTGCACCCAGTTTTCTATTTTGCTCTTTACAACTTGTGTAAAATAAGATTGAATGTGGTCCTAAATGTTTTGATGGTTCAGTTTTCCCTCTGTCTGTACTGTATACCACTTGTGCTGTGAAATAATGTTGGATGTGAACAATGCAGTTTATTATGTGTGTTCCCAGGGTTCATTGGGTACGCCCGAGAGATTTACGAGATGGTCAGCTACCAGGCTCTCGGCGACCAGGAGGATGATCAGCTCTACTACACGCAGATCTTTCTCAACAGAGCTCTGAGGGTGAGTTCTTTTTACTGCCCTTTTTTGCTTGTCTTCATGTTATGTTTCATCATTATCTCTGTCCCTACAGTTTGTCTAATATTGGGTGTGTCCGTCAACCACAGAAGCCTTGTAAATTAATTTATACCGAGCTGAAAACTCCTGCAGAGGAGAATATTTCCTAAGTGAAATAGAAGGACTGAGATGACTTATGGCTACTGCTATGGCCGGTGAGACCAATTCTGGCAGAGTGGAGTTTGCCACATTTTAAGCATTTAAGAGTGGGTGGTTGGCGGGTGCTCTGGTGTGGTTCGCTCCTTCTTTCGTATCAAATACCTATCGTCCTTATCCCTCCTCCTCCTTTTTTGCGTACGCTACTCCCTTGTAACATCTATTCTTCGACACTTATATGACGTTATTGTGTTGCAAGTGCCGTAAAACTCTTACTAAAGCTAAAAGCATTTTAGGTCCTCATTTCCACTTGTGGAAGCTTGTGAGCTTCTCTCTTTCATGAACTATGATGTCCTAATTTGATCATAAAATCTTATCTAGTTGGCCTTCAGATTGTTCTCTTGTAGGTTTTTTTCCTTATTTTAAAAAAATGTGTTTTGACCTGCTTTTTAAATAAATGTCTTTATCTTTTCTTTTATCAGCATGAATGGAAGATGAAGCTGGATACAAGAGCTGAAATATTTCAGAACTTGAACTTTGCTCTCGGTGAGTTGGCTTTGATCGATATCAGTTTTGATAGATATTTGATGTATGTTAATATTCAAATACAGTTATCCAAGCAAGACAACTATCCATTATAGAGGAGAAAAATGGTCATCCTAGACAGGTGGTCCTCTTGGACAGTGTCTTTATGAAACAGAAAAAAAGCACAGGGGGGAGGGGGAAAAGGTAATCTGTATATATGATCATCTTGGACAGGTGGTTTGTTACAGCAGGTTTGACAGTAGATTACTCTTGAAATGTCTTTCTGATCATGTCTTCGGGACAGGAGATTTGTTACAGTGTCGTCTTGTATAAATTCACATCTTTCACACAGTTTCTCCTGTCTCAGTGCTCTGCTGTCCCCTGCTCCTTTAATTACTTTCCAGTTTTACCGTGGGTGGTTGGCGGGTGCTCTGGTGTGGTTTGCTCCTTCTTTCCTATAAATAATCTATCGTCTCTAGCTCCCCTCCTTCTTTTTTATGTTTGTTACTCTCTTGTAACACCTCTAATCTTTGGCACTTTTTTTACCTTATTGTGTTGCAAGTGCCATAAAACTCTTACTAAAACTAAAAAAAACCCAGTCGTACCTTTAATTGTCCTTATAAGCATAGTTGAACATGGGTCTTAAATGTTCTGGAGGTTTTTTTTAAATACCCATTTGGCACCACTAATAAAGGAAGGCTCTCTTCTCACTTAAGTAGGATATGATAGACATAATATGTACATATGTACAAGGAGTGTGGAAAAGTTTCCCCCCCAATTTTTTTGGGGGCGTTTTCCTGATTTCTTCAATATTATCTTTGATACCGAAGCCGTAAGTAAGTGTTATGACCTTTGCCCTGTGCCTGCAGGAGAGGTCGTGATCAAGTACAAAGGCTCCTACAGCTACCTGTACAACATCAGGACAGGAACCTCTCCCATCGCTGTGCACGGGAACGGGCCTGTCAAGGTATGCCGATTAGTTTGGTCAAAGTGTTTCGTTTTGTCTGTGGTGAACTTTCTCCTGTTTTCTCTCTCAACCAAAAAACCCCCCGCCTCTGTCCGCTGGTTCATCTGTTACAGGCTTGCTTTTCTGTTGTGAAAATTAAATTGGCAGAGACACCAGTATTTAACAACAACTGAATGTAAACATTTTATGGCAGATTGACTTATGAAATTGCTGTTTTATGTATTTAACCTGGAACTGACCTCTCAAGGTATGCTAATTTTGATTTGCTCCTTTAACACTTTGATGTCCGATTTAAGTACAGATGACTGAATTCTGCTTTTCAAGGGCAGAGTGACGTAACTACACATTTCATGATATTGAGAACAATGCTAAAAACTTTTGATGCCTATTATTGAGATCACTCTATAATGTAGCTTGACCACTTTGAAAGCAACTATTTCAGATGTAGGTACGTTGTCCTGTCTTTGACACAAGAAGAGTATGAGCAAGACTAGTGTGATAAACTAGTAAATGTGGGTGATTTGCGGGTGCTCTGGTGTGGTTTGCTTCTTCTTTCCTGTGAAACATCTACCGTCCTTATCTCCCTTTCTTCTTTTTTATGTTTGTTACTCTCTTGTAACACCTCCAATCTTCTGGCGCTCATTTGACGTAATGCAGTGGCGAGCGCCGTAAAGCCTCTACTGAGACTAAACAAGTAAAAACCAGTAAATTAAAAAGAAAACTCTGATTTTGTTAGATATGTAGTTATGGCTGTATTAATTCTTTCTTTTACAGTTTGATATGGTATATATAGATTCAGATGACTGAATCATCTCTCTTTACTGTTGTTACTGATGTTTATGTCTGCTTGTGATGTTTTGTGTTTTCAGCCCGAGTTTTACCGAATTTCCAACTACCTGGCTGACGGATGGACCACCTCCACTGGCTGCCAGACCTGTAACGACGATCTGCTAGATCTGACCGATGTTAAGGTGAGGATTACCTAGTCATGGACTCCTGGATTTTTCTCCAGCCTGGAATATTGTTTAACACTTTGCTGCCTCATCTGGCCGATCGGCGATGTTTACCGCCCAGTTTCTTTGGATTTTCCCCAAAATATGATGGCAAAGTGTTCAAAATCATTCTGTGGGTGGTTGATGGGTGCTCTGCTGTGGTTTAGTCCTTCTTTCCTGTTAAACGCCTGTCGTCTTTATCTCTCTTCTGTCTTTTCTTTGTATTTTACTCCCTAATAAATCCTCTAATCATTGGCACAGGTACTAATGACCCCTTTCCACTTCCCCAGTGGCATTAGTGTCTCTATTATTTTATGGACATTGTTCAAATCATCCACCTGTCTAAGACAACCACTTTTTATTGTGAAAATGGGTGTCTATCTTGGGCAATTAAAATTTTGATTGTATATGTCTTGGTTGACGTTTGGATTTAATTATACTTTTTCATAGGCTGCTTTTTAGTCCAGTATTTAAATATTTTCAGTTGGCGAGTGCTAGGTTGTGGTTTGCATCTTCTTTAGTAATAACACCTATAACATTTGGCACTTATATTCCCTACGTCTGTTGCAAGTGCTGGAAAGCTTTTTATTAAACTGAAATTTAAAAAACCAACCTGAAACCATTTTCCAGGATGCGGACATGCCCACCGTTGTGATCGCGATGTTTGTGGAGATGGCCACGCCTTTCCTGCGCGAGTTCTTCGATCGAGTCACGAAGCTGGACTACCCCAAGGACAAGATCGACATCTACTTGCACTACAGCGTGAGTCCACCGCGAGGGTTTGGCTAATGGGGCAGATGAAAATCGGGTTATAAAATACAAATCATCGACAGTCTTATCATGTCTTGCTCAAGGACCTTAGTGCAGAGCCACCAACATGCTTTACATTATTTAGAACCTGAGTTCACGAGCCATTCGGCCTCTTTCAAGGTCGATGTGGCTTACATTCAAAGGACACTCATGATCCTTTCATATACGGAAGGTGTTTGTGAGCTATTTTATCGTCATTTCCTGGATCAGTATCTGTGGTGTGACCTAATAATTTTACTGTGGCGCTGCTCAGAGGCGAGAGGCTCTTATAGATCTTATGAATCTATATATAACTGCAAGGGTCTTGTAATTAAATTCTTGCATGTGGTTGAATGATGCATCTGATGTGAATGTACATTTTGTCAGCTTTATTTATCTTTTCATTTTGAATTTTAATGAGAGTAATATATAATTAAAATTTCTTATGTTTACCTGCATGTGTTTTTACGGTCCTGTACAGCCCCAAAAAATTTCACTCTGGGATAATAAAGTATTATTTTGTCTTATCTTATCTTAATATATGATTTGTAATTTGTATCCTGTAGTGTATATTGAGCCTAAAAAGATGGGTGATGAGGAAAGATCATGATAGTGTAGCTTTTTATGAGAGCATTAGAGCAAAGGAATGAATGGAGAACCGTGATGGTCTATGTCAGTCACAGATCTAACACTTCGAGATGAGTGTATGTTATATACTGTGGTGTACATTGTATCCAGTAGAAAAGATATAGTATACTGTAGTGTAAGTATATTTCATACCTTTTTTGTTTGCCGCTGTTGTCCAGGTTGATTACCACTCCAAGGACGTGAAGAAGTTCCTGGAGGACATCGAAGGCTTGTATCCCAGCACCAGAGTGATCTCCCCTAGCGACAACGTTGGGGAGCAGATGGCGAGGAACTGGGCCATGTATGTTATTTTTTTCTCTGACCATCATACTGTACCATATAGTTTTTATGTTTTTTTTAAACTCTTATTTTCAGTGTGCATTTTAAGAAGGAAGTTGGTAACGCTTTTCCCCCCCCCCCCGTAATATTACAGAGAGAGTTTTTTCGTTACTATTTCTTAATTTCTGTTCATTTTATCTTACATAATTTTAAATTTTGAGTTAGAGATATATTGTTTGACATTGTGCTTGTGAGAGTGATTTTTGTTGTTGAAATGTTGTTTTCCCTTTCTATTTTCAGTGAGGAATGCATCAAAAAGAATTGCCAGTACCTGCTGACCCTTGAATCAGTCGCTCAGATCACAAACCCAACCCTTCTCAGGGATCTCATCATACAGAACAGGTAACTGGGAAGGGTACAATGGAGGATTTATTAAAACAGTTTTCTTGCTTAAATGTGATATAATCTCATTACAAATTATGAACATTTTTTATTCAGTCTTAAAGTATCACTGTCTTGTCTTGTCTTGTCTTGTCTCATTTCTTCTAGTCTCTTTTTATCTTATCTTGTCTTGTCTTGCCTTATCTCCTTTCATCTCATCATGTCTCATCTTGTCTTGCCTTGTCATGTCTTGTCTTGTCTTGTCTCATCTCATTTCATCTTGTCATGTCTTGCCTTGTCTTGTCTTTTCTCATTTCTTCTAGTCTCTTTTTGTCTTGTCTGGTCTTGTCTTGTCCCTTCTCATCTTGTCTTGTCATGTCTTGTCTCTCCTAGTCTCTTTTCATCTCATCTGATCTCATCTTATCTCATCTCACAAAAACCCCATTGTGTTCTCCCCCACCAGGTCCATCATCGCCCCACTGCTGAAGCGTCCGGGCAAGCTGTGGTCCAACTTTTGGGGTGCGCTGAACCGCGACGGCTACTACGCCAGGTCTGAGGACTACATGGACATTGTGGAGTATACCAAAGTGTAAGGACGGAACTCGCTGCTTTATGCGTCAGTTGCTCAGAGCTATTACACTAGTGAACAATTGTTGTATTTCCCTTAAAAATTTTGTTGTTGTTTTGCTTTCATTACTTTCGCATGTTACACCTCAGGGTTTTATTTGAAGTGTAGCAAAAATGTTGACCCCCTTAAACATGATGTCCTGTAGATTTTAATAGTAAAGTTTTGATTTCCTCCTTCATTTGCCCTTCAGGGTTATGTAACTGGCGTCTGTGGTGTTGGGGGCATGTTGCTGATGCACGCAGGAGACCCGAAAATTTTTGTCGACTATCTCGGTCTGTCTGCTGGGATTTTGTGTCTTTGTCAGCCCAGCTTGACCCCGACAGGAAGGGACAGAACCCTGCCTCGTGAATGATCTCAAGTGTTTTGATGGGGCCGTAAAAATATCATATGTTTTTAAAAAATGTTACCCTTCACAGTTATATGGAATGAATCTTTTGTTGTGTGTGAGGTCTTGGAAAAAATCAGTTGCCTTGGCCATGATGTCAGATAGATGTTTTTTTGGGAAGGTTGTGAAGATTTTTGTTCTTGGTTGGCTCTCCAGGGGTCTGTGGAACGTGCCGTTTGTGGCAAGCGTGCTTCTCATCCAAGGTCAGCGCCTGCCCTTGCTCAGAGACGCCTACACAAACAACCCTGACCTCGACGCCGATATGTCGTTTTGTGAGAAGGCCAGGCAAGAGGTGAGTTTTTGTTTTAGTGTTGAAAGTGCAGTAAAACTCTTACTGAAACTAAAAAGAAATTGTATTATAAATTTTTATTGTCTTTTTTCTAGGACCAGACTAGACGAAAGACTTTTTTGTTGTGACTTAACTATATCTACAAACTTATTGCTTCCTCTTCGCCAGGTTTTGTTCATGTACGTCAGTAATCGCAAGTACTGGGGCCATTTGGTGTACGCCGACGGCTTCGATACATCTCACCTCCACAACGAGCTCTTTGACATTTTCAACAACCGTTTGGTGAGTACTGAAGGGTTATGGGGCTTGGTCGGGGTGAAATAGGCCTACATGTATGTGGATATTTTAGTTCTATGGGAATGTTAATAATAATAGATAGCATTTGTATAGCGCAAATCCCCGCTCAACAGCAAGCTCTATGCACTTCACAATCTATACTATTACCCCAGCAGACCTGATATATTACATGCTGCCTCTGCCTTACTAATCTGATCAAAAACTAAAATCCTTCTCAAAAGGCTGGGTTCCCTCTCAACAGGGAAAATGTGGGAAAAACACCCAGGAATTTCATTTCCAGCTTTCCTGGTCAAGAAAACTCCATGAAAAAAGCTGAAAATGGAAACAAATTACTGAGTTGATAAAAATAACGTATTACCGGAAATTTCTCCATAGTTGAGGACTTTTTATGATCATGTTGCTGATTAGTCTGTATAATTTAGTTATACCTGTGCATTTTTCTTTATTTCGTTTTCCTCTCTGTCATCTTTTTACACAAAAAATTACTTTGAAAATGTTTACAAAATTCAGGAGACAACAAGGAAAAAAAGAGGACATTTTCCTTCATGATGAGGGGGCAAACCATGTACAGTGTATGGCGCCTTATAAAGATATGAACACATGATTGTATGAGAGAGTTTGCTTCTTGGTTGTTAAGAGATTTAAAAAACAAAACAAATCCCTTGCTCATTTATATGAGATTGACGCCATCTGATTAGTAGAAAAAAGTGCGTGTCCAATAGTGTATTACGTGCATACTCAGTATAACAAGTAACTGTAATAGCAGATAGAGGTTCCTGATTTATAGATGTAAGTCATTGCTCTGAGAGCGGTGATGATTTTAGATATAATGGTGGTGATGAGTGATGATATGGGATTGCGTTTAAGTAGAGTTAGCATTAGTCCTATCTTCCTCTGCTCCAATGAGTCACATGGGACGTTGGCACCCTCTATCCCGTTCCCTACTGGAACCATCTTTACGGTCACCGTGAAGTTCGGAAATGGTGGGCTCAGTCTCTGCTATGGTGGTCATTTAATAAGAGATTCAGTATCTGCTTGTTTGTGAGAAGAGAGGAAGAACCTCGAGTGTATTGTTAGCTCAGTTCTAACCTCCGCTTTGTTTGCTCTTTCAGGACTGGGAAAGCAGATACATCCACGAGAATTACTCCACATCCCTGCAAGAAGATGTTAAAATTGAAATGGTTTGTAAACTTTTTTGTCTGTTTGAGAATGTATGTGATGATATTTGATGAGCTCTGTGACAGAAAGAAAAAAAGTGCGTGTCATTGTCGTGAAATCAGGTTCTCGTCACAATAATGAAACCGAAGAAATGGACATTTTTCTCGCTGTAGGGCTATTCAGCACCGTTTATGTCCATGTTAAAAAACATTTTTGTGTGGATTTTACTGGAAAACGGTGACCAAAGGCACAAAAAAAAAGAGTAAATTTTCAGTTTCGAAGGATACTCAAGATTTAGAAGTTGCCAAACTTTGACGGCCATTTTTTCGCTGAATTTATCTCTGACACAAAGTGACGGCCACCTCCTTCTATCGCAATCATTGTGACTTCTGTTCAAGTTGTTGTTATTGTCTATTCAAGATGGATATAGGTATTTTTTTCACCAGTATCAGGACAAATGAACAAGCTTTAAGATGATACCAATAACTTTTACCTCGTATGCCCCCAAATTTGACAAGAACGTGTAAACGTTGTGTTATGATACATTTAGGAGAACAGATTGTTTGACTATGATGTGTATTTTTGTTGAACTATCCAAGCAGCATGGAATCATTGGTTACAGCACTTTTTTAGACAGTGATTCTGAATATTTTGTTTGATTATTTATTTTTTATTTCATTGTTTCTCAAGCTGCTGGTTAATTGACTGGAAATAATTTTATGTCCCCATTGACACAATTTAGGTTATTTAGTTGTTTGTGCTTGATTATGCTAAACGATTGACTGCATGGACCAATTTATTGATTTACAGTGCATTGCTTTCTACACTTGATTGGTTGTCAACTGTGACGGTTGTGTAGCAGTTAGGTGTTTTGCTCTTGCATGCAGGAGCCCTGAGTGTGATTCTCAAATGAGGAGAAATTTTAATCGAATATCTCGGTCTTTCTGCTGGGATGTTGTATCCCTTTCAGCCTGGGTTGTTTGTAACAGGTTGGCTGGAAAGGATCTAAACTGTGTGATGGGGGCATAAATACACGTACATTAAGCTAGGTTGTCATCTCTCCTACCTCTGTTCCAGCCCTGCCCTGACGTGTACTGGTTCCCCATCGTGAGCGACACGTTTTGCGATGAGTTTGTCGCAGAGTTGGAGAACTACGGCCAGTGGTCCGGAGGCAAAAATGAAGTAAGTGTTGCTGCGGAGTAAGGGATATTGGCATTTTTTTGGGGTTTATGTTGAAAAGTGAAAAAACTGCTATTGGCCAATGGTCTGGATGCAAAAATGAAGTATGAAATAAGTTTTGGTTTGGAATAGCGATGTATGTAAGAATTTTTTTTGTCTATGTTGAAAAGTGAAAGCATTTTCTGTAGGCTGTAGACCTCAAGACCCTGACTGAATACAACACTCAGCGAAGAATGCTAAAACTCTTGTCCGGATGCCGTATAGCTCAGCTTTGTGATTTAAAAACTTTATGTTAAAGATGGAATTGTTTTAATTCATTTTGAGCAGGAGCTTATTGGAGTTTGCTCAGAAAACTATTGTTCTGTTTGCTAGTTATGGAGTGTGTGTGAGGAATTCCTCTTTTTTATGGTTGCTTTTAGAGGTTTTGCTTGGTAATTTTTGTCTTATTGCTATTTTTGGAGTGTTCGTGAAGTAATTCTTTTATCGCTATATATAGGATCCTCGCCTGGCTGGTGGCTACGAGAATGTGCCGACGGTCGACATCCACATGAACCAGGTGGGCTTGGAGAAACAATGGCTGCACTTCCTTGGAGAGTTTGTGCGTCCCCTTCAGGAGAAAGTCTTCACCGGTTATTTCCATGATGTGAGTAGTGAGGGAATGTCTCAACAATTTGCCTGCAGTCTTTTCTCTATGTCCAGAACGACATGAGTCAATGAAGGGATATAAGAATAGAATGAAATTATTTTGTCTGCAAGCTGTTCAACTGGTCTAGACCCAGAAAGCGAAGTTTTACAGGTGACAGAAAGAACTGTTTTATTCTTTTTAAAATCATACCCACATTATGTATCTTTTCTCGCTTTTTGCAACATTTAGAATTTGAATTTGAACAAAATATAACGTGAGCACATGCACCCAATACCACAGATTCAGAAAGTGCAATTTAAACAAAAATTTTTAACTTGGGCTCAGCACACCTGAAAAGCTGGCTGATAATATCTATTTGAGTTTGATTTTGAGGTTCATGTTGAAGGAGTACTTTAACATAGTTTCAGACCCTCTGAGATCATATATTCACGTCTGTATTTTTCTTTTCAAATTTGACCAATCTGTTCAAGGTACAAGTACGTTTTACTCTCATGTTTCCAGCAGATTGACTGTTTACCCAATGGGAAGCAAAGTATTACTGTGATGTTACTCTTACTCAGATTTACAATCTCAGACCACATCTACATCTAATATTTATTCTTCACCTTTTTACAGCCACCAAATGCTATCATGAATTTCATTGTCCGCTACCGACCCGACGAGCAGCCGCTGCTTCGCCCTCACCACGACGCCTCCACCTACACCATCAACATCGCCCTCAACAGGCCCGGCATTGATTTTCAGGTATGTGGTGCATTTTTTTTTGCTATTGTTACTCACTCAAGGTAAAGAAAAAGTACTCTTTCTTGAAAAATCGAACTCGTCTCCTATTAAAAGTAAATGATATCTAATAATACTAGGCTTGTCAACTGTCCCAAATTCCCCAGGATGATCCAGGAATTGGTAATCGGGAATTGGAGAAGACATTTTAGCCTCCCTCACCGTGAGGGGCCAAATTTCAAACTTTTGTCCTGGTGTTTGTCAGTTGTCAGCTATTTTCTGTCTAATTTCACAGTGGCTGTAGCCATATCTCATAACACCGTACTGAAACCACTCATTGACGATATTGCATCAATGTGCTTCTTTTTACTCAAACAAACAACCCCCGTGGGTGGTTAGCGGGTGCTCTGGTGTGGTTTGCTTCTTCTTTCCTATCAAACATCTATCGTCCTTATCTCCCCTTCTTTTTTATGTTTGTTACTCTCTTGTAACACCTCTAATCTTCTGGCGCACATATGACCTTATGCAGTTGTGAGCGCCGTAAAACCTCTACTAAAACTTAAAAAAACCCAACCCACTCCCCAGAAGACAAAATTGTTGACACTCTGTACTGTAAATCTCAATGATAATGTCCCGTCAGGAAGTGTGTACGTCACAAATTACAAACATGCTTGTTCAACAGTACACATGCCTTGTCAATTTGTTAATGTCTGAGTGCTTATTCGGTTGCTTGCAATGTATGCTTCCTGGGAACCCGAGAATATTTCTGAGTTGTTTTCTGGGGTCTGCTGGGGGTAATAATGGTTGTAAAGTGCATAGAGCATGCTGTAGAGCGTCAGTATGGGCTACAGAAAGGCAGTTACAGTTGAACCTGTTCTAAAGGCCACCTAAATACGACAGTCACCAACGGCCACTTCTCCTTTCCTCCCTTGCATATTTTTTACACTGTAATGACACTATCCAAACCATCCACCTGTCTAAGACAACCACTGTTCTCCTCAACAATGGGTGGCCGTCTTAAACTATTTCGACAGTGTTATTATTTCACATGTTGTGGACTGTAGATACGCACTATATAAATGTTACTATTATTATTATTATTATAATTAGGGCCTACTATTATTATTATAATTGTTATGAATATTATTATTATTGTTATTATTATGTGGAGTCTAGATATGCTCTTTTGAAATGCACCTATTATTGTTATTATTATTACTATTATTATTATCATTACTATTACTATTATTATTATTATTTTATTATTATTACGATTATTGCTGTTGTTATACATGCTGTTGTACTGTATGTCCCAGGGAGGAGGCTGCCGGTTTGTGCGCTACAACTGCAGCATCACGGCTCCCAAGAAGGGCTGGATGTTCATGCACCCTGGTCGTCTGACTCACTACCACGAGGGACTGAGGACCACCGAGGGCACCCGCTACATCATGATTTCTTTTGTCGACCCCTAGACTGCTTGCTTTGGACTCTTGTTGCCAATGGCGAATTTCATCGAAACAGCGAATTTAATCAAAACAGCGAAACAAATATCAAAAGAGATTATTGAATGAAATATACTAACAAGCAGATTATGTGTATAGGTAAAGAACTTCTGCTGAAAAATGTACTTTTTTTAATGATAATGTGGTGATTAGCGGAAAAACTTAAGTCCCTCCCAAAAAAAGATTTTTATTTAAATGTGGAAACTGCTAATTTTATCAAAATGTACAAATTCCGGTTTGCATCATCAAGGAAACATTTGTGCATTGCGTCTGGAAAGCAGGGCTGGTAACTTGCACAAAGTTTTTCCCTTGCAGCACATATTTTTCAAAGCGTCGGGGAGGTTACTTGATTGTTGAAGTTTAACTTCTAACTTGATCAGATTTCTGCAAGTGCCTTTTTTTGAGTGTTCATTTGCTATACATACCCTCGCTGTATGAGATTGAAATCTGTATTCATGTCCATGTCTTCCACTGTTTGAATCTCGCGGGTGGTTGGCGGGTGCTCTGGTATGGTTTGCTTCTTCTTTCCTATCAAACATCTATTGTCCTTGTCTCCCCTTCTTCTTTTTTATGTTTGTTATTCTCTTGTAACACCTCTAATCTTCTGGCGCTCATTTGACCTTATGCAGTTGCGAGTGCCGTAAAAACTCTACTATAACTATGTTTGAATCTCACTTTAGATTTCCGATCGTAATTGTCTTGGGAAATGACCATCGTTATCTGTTTGTCATTGAGCAAGTTCTTCACAAGTCTTTTTTTTTTTTTCTTTTCTTTTTTTTTTCTTCTTTAAAAAAAAAATTATACCCTGTAAGCATTATCAGCACGGTTTCGGAGGTGGAGAGTTTTTATCCGGACATTTCTGATGTTTACAAGATTTTGGTTGTTGTGAGGTGTGAATATCTCTACAGAGAATAGAGAAAGTCCACCACTTGTTTTCTGCAAATTTTTCTGTATCTGGGCACAGCTGCCTTGCGAAGCTATGTGTGTATTATATGTGAGGTTTCATTGACAAAATGAGTTACTTCTCAGATTTTGTATGTCAAATTTGTAGATTTGTCAAATTTGTAGATTGAGTTTGTTCAATTTTTTTTGGTATGAAATGATGAAAGACATGTTTAACTTGAAGAAAATAGCATCAGTTGTAAATCTGTTAATATAACATTTAGCCCCTGTGTTGATTTTTGGGGATCTCTCCGTTCACCGACTGCGAGAAGTAACTCATTTTGTCAGGAAAACTGTGACTATGGAAAAAAAAGAAACAGGGACACTGTGTATTTGTCAGACTGTGTGTGTCGTGTGTTTGCTTGTGATACTGTCCTGTGTCCTTTTGTGTCTTGAAGTCCCCTTCTGTGTTCATTTCTGTGTCATGTGACCACATTTTGGATATTTTCTGACAACTTTTTATGTATTTCCTGTCCAAGTTCATTGTAACATTCATTCTTTATACTCATTTCTTTTTGTGGGGAGGGTATTTCAAATGTGATTTTCAATATTTCCCTTATGTTTTTTGTTTTTCCCTACTGTTTGACAAAATTGCTGGTTGTGTTTGGTGCTGTAGCTGTCCATATGTGCTTCCTTTGATCGAGTTCAAAGCCATATGGTTTTGTAAAATTACTACACATTGTACTTATATTATAGCTGGCTGAGTGATTAAGCTTTTTTTTGTTTTTAAATAACTTAATAACCAAGAAATATTTTCAGCAATATATTAAGAAAGCATGATCTTGTAATGTTCTACTTTTTAAGAGTACATTTGGATGATGATTTGAATGAGATGCTCTGGATAACCGTGATGAAGTCATTAAGCTGTAAAGGGTAACGAAAATTATTTGTCATGGCAATTTCCATCAAGCCACCTCAAAGAGAGGTTAAAATCATAGAATGAGTAATTTTCTCAACTCTGAAAACCGGAGAGTGCCATCTGTATCTGTAGATGGATGCCACGAATGTCTGAAATGGCTATGTTTTTGTTTGTAAAACATCAAAACATTGTAAGCCAGAGTTGTAGTCAGTTGGAGATAAACTTACTAGTAGGACTGAATAACATGCTTGTTGGTGGCTGGATGCAAGACTTGGACGATAGATGTCAAATGGCATGATGTGTCTAATGTCATGATGGTATTTCTGGGAGTCTTGCAACCAGCCATTGTTATGTCCGTGGCTGATTCTTTTACTCTTGTGAGTATCATGGTGGGTGGTTGGGGGGTGTTCTGGTGTGGTTTGCTCCTTCTGTCCTATTCAACGCCAATCATCTTTATCTCTCCTCCTTTTCTTTTGTTTGTTTGGTTTTTTTTTGGTTACTCTTCAGTAACATCTCAAATCTTTGGCACTTATATATGACTTAATTGTGTTGTAAGTGCTGTTAAACTCTTACTTAAACGAAACCTGAGTATCACACGAAAGCCGTAGGCCATCAAGCAGCGTGGTGGTGTTTGAGTGAATCTTCTAGTCTCCTCTATTTCTTTCATCATGTTGCTGCCATTTCATGTTGTCAGGTAAATTGTTTTTAGCAGTCTGTGTTTTTTTGTGTGGGCAGGACAGACTTTTGTTTTTTCTTTTGACTTTTCTGAAGAATTTGTGATCTGATCTTCTGATCATCTGATTAATCTGATGTAAAGTTTGGAATGAAAAGGTAGGGTAGACAAATGTTGTAACCTGAGATGTGTGGGCCAGCAAGTTTTCATTTGGCTTAAAAATTGTGCGGCAGTCTAAATGTCTGCCAGTTAGTTTTAATATGTCTCTGATCGTTGCAGCTTAAATACATGCAAGTTAGGTTTTATCCCAGTGAGAACTATATATATACAAATCAGTCCTTCCAAATTATTGAGCAGATTTGGTGGTTGTTGCGTGTCATTTTGACAGCTCCATGGACACCGTAGCCTTGTCTCACCTCATCTCATGATGGACTTTTCTTGTATTTTTCACCCCAGGTCCATGGTAGTAATGATTACTACACACTTTTTTTTTCTTATCATATTACAGAAGCCAACAGCATTAGCAGAGACCACACTGTGTATTGTGGCAGTGTGCAGCATTAATAGAGTTTCACTTTTACAATAGCTTATCTTATCAAAATGTGTGGTCAACTTTTCATGCGAGTCCTTTTGGGTTTTCTTTTCTCAACCTAAAAGTGTTTGTTTTTCTTCAAATATAGCAGCTTTTAAATCTATTATAATAGAATTATGGTGTTTGAAATACATTTTATGAAGGAATGTTTGTTTCTTGTTTAGAGTTGCTTGAATTTGTTCTCATGAATTTTTATAAAGGTTTACTTCTTATTTTTCTCCACATTTTTATGAGCAAATGGCAGTTCAGATAATATTTGAAAGTGGTTCCTAACTTTTGTACATGCTCCAGAGGAATTTGATTGACTTTGGTGAAAAATGTCATCTGTTCATAATTGATCATTATTGATGAATAATAATGATCATTGATCAGAAAAATGTGTTAATATTTGCTTTTAATCACTCTTTTGGGCTGATTACTTTTGAATTTTGAAGCACAATCTTTACTTGATCAACATAGTAGGGGTTTTATTTCTCAGCACAATTGTTGTTTGTTAAAGATCACTAAAGTTTACAGTTTTCTTTGTATGTAGTCAGTTTAGACCAGACAGATGTGTACAACGATTTATTTATATTCTATCTTTGAAACAGATCTAAAATGTTTTATATATTCTGTGTATGAAACAGATGTTTAATGTTTTGAACATTTTGTCTTTTGAAGCAGGTGTAAAATGTTTCACATCTGTGTTTCATTCTCAAAAAGCTGTAACATTGTTTCCTCACAGGAGAGTGAACATCAAGAGCAGGTGTCTGTTTCACATCTGTGTTTCATTCTCCAAAAGCTGTAACATTGTTTCCTCACAGGAGAGTGAACATCAAGAGCAGGTGTCTAGCATTGATAAGGTTGTCCTGTTCTTCCCTCACAATATATATATAGTGAAATTTCTTTATTTCTCGATACTCTTAACACTAACAGCTTGAACAGAGCAAAAGAGCAGATTTTACAGCTGGTCTAGCATCGATGTATTCACGGGATTTTATCCGAGACTTTTAAGTTCCTCGTTATGTCTTATGATCGTATTTTGCTGTGGTTGTTTTGGTCCTGATGTCATTTTTTGGATCGATGAAAGTTTTTATGATGCTCTGACCTGGTGCTAGAGGACGTGCTATCTCGTGGTTCTCAACAGTTCTCACATAATCAAATGTACATTATCTATTGTCTATAATTATATATGGTCATTAAAAGTGAAACATCTTCTCACTTCTTTGTTGTGCTGGGTTTTTTTTTAGTCGTTTAGTTGTTAAATTAGCTGCGTCTGTGATGTAGTGGTTATGTGTGTGGTATGCCTCTTCCCATCAAACATCTATCAAAATTATCTCTACTCTTTCTTTTCTTTTGTATATCACTATTTAGTTGTAACCCTTCTATTCCCTGTCCCTTATTTGACCTGTTTGCACGCACTGTAAAGCACTTAATGGGAACTGTAAAACACTTATTGAAACGTGGGTGGTTGGCGGGTGCTCTGGTGTGGTTTGCTTCTTCTTTCCTATCAAACATCTATCGTCCTTATCTCCCCTCCTTCTTTTTTATGTTTGTTTCTCTCTTGTAACACCTCTAATCTTCTGGCGCTCATATGACCTTATGCAGTTGCGAGCGCCGTAAAACCTCTACTAAAACAAAACAAACTTATTGAAACTGTAAAACACTGAAACTAAACTACCTGCAATGGAGAAAGGCTTTATCATTAGTCCACAAAAGTCAGAAATACAATATGTAATAATAATGTAGTAACATTTCTCACACAAAGAAGCCATCCATCTTGAATAAGTGAGTTAAGGTTGGCAACAACAACACCACCTGGATCGAGTGACAACCCAATTCCTTCAGCCCAGGACACATCAGGTGCACCGGTGTCTGTGATGTAGTGGTTAGGTGCTCTGTTGTTGTGTGCAGAAGGATCAAGTTTGATTCCTGTGCTGGGAGAATTTATAGAGTACATATTGTGTGTATCTTGTTTTTTTGTTTTTTTTTGGTTTGGACGTTGTAATATTCCTTTCAGCCCATGTTGGTCTTGACAGGCAGGGACGACGCCTGCCTCCTAAGTTATGATGATAATAATAATAATAATAATAATAATAAATAGCATTTGTATAGCGCATATCCCCGCTCAACTGCAGGCTCAATGCGCTTTACACTATATTATTACCCCAGCAGACCACAGAACACTCTGAAACATTCTCAGCTTCCCGGGAAGCATACAGTGCAAGCAGCTGATTAAGCGCTCAAACACTAACAAACTGACAAGATCTTTCGCTGTCTATAGCCGGGTACCCATTCCCACCTTGGTGAAGTGAGGAAAATTCGTGTAAAGTGCCTTTCCCAAGGACACAACGTCGGGCCCCTGACGGGATTCGAACCCACGACCTTATGGTTGCGAGTCCGAGAGACTAACCACTAGGCCACTATGACCTAAATTGTGTCGATGGGGGTGTAAAAACACCCATATTAAAAAAACAAAACCCCAATCAAATGAGGTGCAAGACTTCAGTTGTTCCCGAGGTCTACTTCTGTATAGCTTTTGGGATAACGGCCACATTTGGTCCAGATCAGTTAAGTTTAAGATAAGAGTTTGTTTGAGTCAAGAGAAGCACACCGACACAAGAAGGGATATTTATTTGTGGAAAGAAGCAAGTTTGAGCAAGCTACTGCATAATTTACTGAAACGTGGAGATGGACGGTGAATTTGGTGGTGTAAGCTTTTTAAATGACCCTACAGTTTCCAACCTATATTATTATACATGTTATTTCATTTTTTCTCTCTTCACACCAAAGTAAATCAAACATGAGTCCTGAAAATACATGAAAGGACCATTGTACATCGTAAGTATTTTTTATTTCCGAGAGTCATTCACCCTACAATAATTGTATTACGCAAACAAACACACACAGAAGCATCTAGTGAAGTTGGCAGACCACACTAGATAGCTCCTTGAATAAATGTGCCGCTATAATAATATTATTAGGCATACTATTTCATTTCTTCCTTTTCTTCTACCGCTTTCGCTTTTTACGTTCACAACCTCACCACCTTTTCCCAACTTGAAAATACCTTCTCACTGCCCCATGACGTACACACAGATACGGGTTCCACACCTGATAAGTTGTCTACCCCGATAATACAGGAGTTTTTGTAGACTTCACAGAATTCTACACTTAGTGTAGAATTCTGTGGTAGACTTAGATCTTCTT